TCGCCGTCAGCTGGAGATCTACCCAGAGGTTGTGGAGAAATGTGTGAAGGCCACTTGTGTTCTTCACAATTTCATAAGGGCAAATGGGCATGTACCTGCACTGAGTGGAGCTGGAACAAAGGAAGATCCCCTTCCAGATGTGGGGCGCATGGGAGCAAACCATGCAGCAAGAGAGGCAACTGATGCCAGAGAGGCATTCATGGCCTACTTCTGTGAGGAGGGAGCAGTTCCATGGCAGCCAACTGAGTAGTCATGTCCTCCACAGGACTGACGCACAACGGCTCTTTTAAGAGCCACCCACCAAAACTTCAAGAGCCTAGTTTCTATATAACTTAATCATTTTCCTTTCTTGTTAACATGATTGTGTTGAAAACATTTATATGTTATGCTGTTTGTCTCCCTCCTCTTTGCAGAAAGTAGCTTCCTGGTACTGTTTCTGACTCCTGCTCCTGGTTAATCACAGCATAACCACAAGCAAAACCAAGACCGTTGTTACAGTTCACTTAAAAGTTTTTGGGAAAATTAATTAAAGACGATGTTAGTGATTTGTGGCTCCTGAATCTATCATTTTATCAAAATGTTTCATCTTTAAATGAATAATACTGTAAAATATAAATATTTTAATTCACTTCAACTATTTAAAAGAACTGACAAATGAAAGATCAAAGTGATAGTTTAAATAATTAAACCAAATGTAAATTCATAAAATATTTATTAAAACAGATTTTGAACAAACATTAATTCAACACAGACATACAACGTGAACAAAAAGGAAAAAAAAAAAACAGGAAAATGTCTGTTTCCTCTCCTGCAAAAAGTGCCACCTATTTTATGTTAAAAAAAAATTACTCTGATGGTTCCAGATTAAGCGTGACAGTGCTGCTTTCATACAATAACTTATGAATTTGAAATTTTACAAAGTCCTTTGACTCTGGTGGAACCTTTTTCAGGAGAGGAAGCAGAGAACGCAGAAAATAATTGTCCTCACAGCAGGGGTCAGATGTGGATTTAGATTTCAGGACCTCCAACATCTCCCTCTCAAATTCTGTGGGCTCAACATGCTGCCTTTTCCGGACCCTCTTCTTCGATGGACCTTAAAAGCAGACAGTATAATTAGAGCAGAATATACGATTTTGGGGATCACAAAATAAGGTCTCATTTTATCTGGTGTTTCACTGCACAACAACAAACAGAAGAGGAGACAGTACCTTACTGATTCCATACACACCTGATGATGATGGAGCAGAGGATGGTCCAGGAGCAGAGGATGGTCCAGGAGCAGAGGATGGTCCAGCCAGCTCAGAGGAAGAGGCAGACAGCTCAGCAAGCTTTCTGTCAATATATTAAAACAATTTAATAATATGAACAACTATAAATTAAACAGAGGAGATGAAACCGGATCATTTTTAACTGTCTCACTAAACAAACCTCTGGCATCAGATAGCCCTGAATACTCCTCTGGCTCCTCTGGGTGGCTGTACTCAGCGGCCTGCTCCTCCTCGACCCTTCCCTGCATGTTGCTAGTGGTCTCTCGTGGAGTGACGAAGGGTTCAAGGAAGGACAGGACCGCTAGATATTTCCACCTCTGTGCTGTCCCTGCTGCTGCACCACTTCTCTTTCTTTCTTTTTCTTTTTTAACCTCCCTCACATATGTGTCCCTCAAGGTTTTCCACCTCTTCCTGCATACATCCTCTGAACAAACATTTATTGAGCAGCATGAAATTAGCAATATATTGAAAGTGTATGTTTAACATTGTAAAAGCCTGGATAACTTACCAGAGAGTCCGATTTCCTCACTAATCCTTTTCCATGCCATGTCCTTTCTGCTCTTGTCTCTATATTCGTAACTTGATTGATCATAAATTACTGGATGAGAGCAAACAGCAATGATCAATTTTTCTTCCATTTTCGCAAATTCCCGGGTTTTCTCCGTCTTTCCCTCCAGTCTGAAAACACAGCTACGTCATTTGGCGGAGCTTCTCTCTGTTTGGTTGACGCGGCGCGTCGAGCAGCAAAAATTAAATTTTTCCATCTCGAGCAGCAGCGCGTTTGCGGCGCGTCACGCGCGTCAGATGCTTAAACGCGCCTGACGCGCTGCTTCAGCTGCTCAGACGCGCTGCGCCTGCTGCTCAAAACGCGCCGCGGGACCTTTTGCTGCGCCTTGACGCGCGTCAACCATTGACTTTGCATGTAAACTCGCTTCTGTCGCGCCAGCTGCCCCCGGTGTGAATGCAGCATAATCCTGTTAAGAGATCTAAGGTTTTTGCACATTTGAAACGTTTAAACTCTGATTTAGTATTTTTACAGGAGACTCACCTTCGTACTAAAGTTCACTTTAGATTACATTGCCCTTGGGTGGGCCAAGTCTTCCACTCTAACTTTAATTCGAAAGCTAGAGGAGTAGCCATTTTAACTAACAAAAAAGTTCAGTTCTCATCCACTGACGTTATCGCTGATAGGAATGGCAGATACCTCATGGTTGCTGGTACCCTAATGCAAGGAAAGGTTTTGTTGGTTAATGTATATGCTCCGAACTTTGATGATGTTGAATTTGCTAACAGATTGCTGAGTAACATCCCCTTTTTGAATACACACCCACTGATCCTTGGAGGAGATCTAAATTGTGTTTTTGACCCGATCTTGGATCGGTCTAATCCTCGCAATCTGACTCAATCTGCTATGTCTAAAACATTTTCTGATTTTATGAAACAGAATGGTCTTATTGATGCATGGAGATCTCGCAATCCCTCTGTTAAAAATTTTTCTTTCTTCTCTCAGGTACATCAATCATATTCTAGGATTGATTACTTTTTTATTGACAGTACGCTTGATTCATGTGTAAATTCTTCTGACTATTTAGGTATTGTAATATCTAAACACTCACCTTTATTATTAGATATTCAGTTCTCTACCTATAAACTTAGCCCACCACTTTGGAGATTTAATTCTCTTCTTTTGGCAGACAAAGAATTTTGTGAACTCATTTCAAACTCTATTGATGAGTTCCTATCTTTCAATCGTAATGACTCCTCTTCTTATTCATTGTTATGGGAGACACTTAAATGTTACCTGAGAGGTCAAATTATTTAATATTCTGCTCTTTCTAATAAAAAGATTAATGCTAGGCTTGATGTACTTGCATCTGAGATTAGTAACCTTGATCGAAGACATGCACTAAACCCTTCTCCGGAATTGCTTAAGCATCGTGTTGATTTGCAAGCAGAATTTGATCTCATCTCTAAAGAGGCAGAGCGCTTGTTGCTAGTCGTGGCTCATGTTATGAACATGGCGACAAGGCAAGTTGTTTAATGGCACATCAATTAAGGCGACAGGCCACTTCCTGTCTGATACCTAGTATTATTATTTTTTTTTTTTACAGTGTCCTGTCTGGCAAGGTGGCAATAAGAATAATTGTCTTGATGCCAAAAGGAGCCCAACAGATTTTACTTTCATAAGTGTAGCGGTATGGCAATTGCCATACCGCTACACTTGTTTCATGTATATAAATTGCTTTATTATAATTATGCAGGGAGTTTTACAGTTACAGTTGAACTGTAAAACTCCTTGATACCTAGTATTAAAAACAGTTGTGACACTATTACTACAGATCCCCTGGAAATCAATGCTATTTTTAAATCATTTTATTCCTCATTATATAAGTCTAAATTTCCTACAAACAACACAGAAATGAACAAATTTCTTCAGAATCTGTCGAATCCTGTCATTGACACTAATACTGCCAGGCATTTGGACTCCCCACTCTCCCTTGAAGAAGTATCAAATGCAATTAAGGCTATGCAATCTAACAAAGCCCCAGGCCCCGACGGATTTCCGATTGAATTTTTCAAAACTTTTATTGGTAAATTGGCACCGCTGCTTTTATCAGTATTCTATGAATCCTTGGAAGGTGGGTTATTACCACCAACCCTGAGACAAGCCACTATTGCTCTCCTTCTCAAGAAGGACAAGGATCCAACCTCATGTGGTTCATACAGACCATTATCTTTGCTTAATGCTGATGTAAAGGTGTTGGCTAAAGTAGTTGCATCCCGTTTAGAGAAAACCCGTAAACTCCCGCAGATCTCCCTGATTTTCGTCAGTTTCTGACAATTTGTAACCCGCGCTCGTCCCCGTTTGTCAGTGCCACAAATTGTCGGGAACGGACTCTGACGTATGTGGAGAGCGATCAGCTGTACTAATGGCCCTAATTAGCATATGAATGCAGCGAACCCGCGCCGCTCGCCAGGTCTGGCTTGAATAACCTACTCAGTATTGGCTGAAACCACTATTCTCAAACAAGTAAAATCGCTCGTGATTGGCAGCAAAACCACATGTGGCCATGCCAGGCTTTAATTTTCTTACTGAGTATTGGAAGGAACCACTTCTTTTTAAACAAGTAAAGTCGCTCGTGATTGGTTGGCATATATATATATATATATATATATATATATATATATATATATTAACATATAAATTTACATAAATATATATATATATATATATATATATATATATATATATATATATATATATATATATATATATATATATATATATATTTATGTGTATATATATATATATATATATATATATATATATATATATATATATATATATACACACATAAATATATATATATTTATATATTTATTTATTCATATGCTGTGTATTTATGTTATCCTACACTACTACACAATTATAAGGCTACCATCAAGGACATGAATGAATTCTTACAGGAAATGAACATTTGCCAGTTTATGCAAAGAAAGAGCTTTATTAAAACACACACAACTATATACAACGCGTATCCAAAAATTACAAGTCCGTGAACGGTCTGTTTGCTTCCTCGGGGTTGGAGGTAACTGGCAGCATTCCCTCCGAGGCAGGTCAGATGTGCAGACGCCTACTGTGCGTGGCCCTGTACTTCGGCATCGCTTCTAACCGGGACTGCAGCTTAACACAGAGTTCAGAGAGATCCGGCCTACGAAATGGCGGCGGCCATTCCAGAGTTCCACTTCCTCATCAGCTAGCACACTCTGCCTCGATTCCAGCAGCTGTGAAAAAAAAAAAAAAAAAAAAACAATGAATCAGCACTATGCGATGGGATGCACTGCATATGGACACAACACATCTATCAATGCACCTGAAAAATAGTCACCAAATAAAGTCTTACTCTCTTTCTTTTCTGAATGCTTGGCAGATTCCGCGCGCAGCGTGTTCTCAGGCTGCGTATATCTGAAGCTCCTGCGTACCGTCTCATAATACGTCTTACAGGCAGCTGGAAAACAATTAAATGAGAGTGGTATGAATAATAGGAGGTCACCGCCTCATTGTGAGGCGAGATTAGGCTGTGAAAACAAAATGTACAGTTATGATCGGTATCCATCCATATCTATTTCCTTTTACCGCAGAATGAAAGCATATTCTTTAAATCTTACCCTTGCTCCGGTTCATAGCGCCTGCAATTTGTCTCCGAGTTGTGAAGACAGCGTACTGCTTCCTGTGAATCACAAAAAATACACTTTAATAAAGCTTGTTCTTGCAAGGCTACTATTAGCCGTAGCTTTAGGCTAGACTGCTGTTAGCCGTAGCTTTAGGCTAGGCTGCTATTAGCCATAGCTTAGGCTAGGCTGCTTTTAGCTTAGCAGGCAGTAATCGAACATATATTTACCGGTAGCTTCTCTTCTTTGAGTTCGTCTCTCCCGCACAGTTGCTCGACTGCAGAGTCGCCATCGCGTCCAAGAGAAGTTTTACCCCGAAATCCCACATACTCCGTCAGCGCTCCGCTCCGCCCCGCTGCACTCCAGACTGCCTGCACAAAGCAAAGCATACATCCTCCACTGTGGCTCCAGACCGCTCTGCTCTGAGTTTCTTGGAGATCATAGAGAGCATGCGCGAGATGAACCAGGGTTTCCGCGGATCATTAAAAATAATTACAATTCATTCATTTTTTTTTTTTTTAATCAAGGCCTTAATTGGCACTAAAATTATTTAAATATGTTTATCGAAGTATTTAAAATTCTTTAATAAAAAATGCTTATAAAAACAATTTCGTCAGATATATTATATCGCTATTAATTTGCATGGAACTGATCATAAAGCCGTATGTTCGGAAAGGAAGCTCCAGGTGGAGAAAAAGCTAGAGGATATATATATACGTATATATGTGTGTGTGTGTGTGTTTACATACATACAGGAGTCATGGAACTGTGCTTACAGCTCCTTCCTATCTCATGTACACTAATAACTTGTGTACATGGTTCTTGTTGATGGCATTAAAATCTTTTCTAATAGCATTAAAATAGCATTAAATTAGAGTCACTCATTCCTGTGAAAGCTTAATTTAATATAACATATTAAAAAAATCCCACCATTATCCAGCATATGTTCAGTTTTTGTCCAAATATATATATATATTTTTGTAGATTTTTGTAACGGGGATAAGGATAATTCAAAACTGCTTTTTTTGAATGAACTTGTTCTCTACTCCCAAACTCAGCTTCTCTTTTCATTCCTGTAATAAGAAGTTTCTTTTGAATGGATTTGATTAAAGTTTAAGTCCCTCGGTATAAAATAAATATTTTGATGGAGATGAGAAATCTGCTTCCTCGTTGGTGAATAACCAATAGTTTGGATCCAATCATTTAAATAAACGGTGTTAGTTTTTTTTTTTTTTTATATATGAGAATTGTGCTATAATTTCTTGTCACCGATCTGTTGCTGCTATATTTTAATTTGACGAACCGGAATTTGTAGATGTTCTTTTTCCTGTTGCAATTGCGGATCTCGACCTGGCCAGACCGGAGCGGAGCAAAAAATAGCTCGGCTCCGTAATTTGTCGGTGACGGACGGAGAAGACGTACGTGGATGGAGACATGCGGAGGAGTAGCAGTGGATGTGGAACAGCTCTCATTGATTTCCATGAAAGACAAGCGCTCCGCACGATGTATGTCAGCGGGGCGGAGTGGAGCGGAGCGCTGACAGAGTATGTGGAATCTGGGGGGAAGGCGTGTTGAACGCGAGACGTCGTCCAGCCATTGATCACGTACCAGCAAAATCCAAACAAAGGAACTGGAGATAAAGTTCTTCTGAGTATAGCTCCTCCAATCACATACGAGGTCATTGTTATACGGAAGGACTCGAGAGAACAGCTACATCTATAATGTTTTTTTTTTGCTTTATTGGCAATTCCCTGTAACAATACAGAGTAATTCAAACATCAAACAAAGATACACAGCAGTTGGTGACATTATAATTTAAAAAAAATGAGACATATAATGTAAAAAATAAATAAAAATAAAACAAGGGAAACAAACATATAAATAAATAAACAAATAAATAAAATAAGCATAAAATAATAATAGCTAGGGGTTTACATTGAGTTTATGGTCATTTAACTTTTTGTAGCTTCCTGTCCTAAACAGTCTTTAAGAAAACATATTAGAAGATGCAATATTGTATATGTGAGAGAGGAGTTGCTGTAAAACAATGGTTTACCACAGATTTAAAACTAGCAATAGCATAAAGAAATATGAAAACTCTAAAACAGTCTTTAGACTTTTTATCAGCAATTACTGTGGGTAGCACAACTTGTGTTACAGAAAATAGCAGGCTTTGGAGATATGTTCTGGAGAATCTTGATTTATACCATACTACAGAACATTTCAAAAGGCTGCTGACTTTTTCTATGTTTATAGGTGAAAATAATAAAAACTACAAAAGAGCAACTTTGCTGTTCTCCATAAATGTTGGGAAAATTGTTTAAAAGTTTGTTGCATAAGGGCGTGCTTTGGTTGCCCAGTGTTTAGCCCACAAAACCCATGTACAGAAAGATTCCTTAGTCCTTGACATGGATGACCCGGGTTCGCATCCTTGGCCGCATGTCTCTCCCTCTCTCATACCCCCTTTCCTGCCAGCCTACTGCCAAAAAAACGAGACACTAGTGCCGTAAAAACTCCAAAATGTGCTGTAAAAACTCCCAAAAAAAGGCTCTTTCATAAAAGCTTCTACAACACAATGCTGTTGATGGTAGATTGTTTTGAAGGGTCAGACAGGAAAGCTTGGTAAACAAATCTGAGATGCCGATACCATTTACTGTAAAAGAAAGGACAACGGAGAGAAAATGTAGAGAATAATGTAGGAGTGCTGCTAGAATTCCAGTTCCCAGATCTGTGTTTTCTATTACTTCTACAACCACTAAAACTTATGTTATAAATGCACGTTATTGGCAAGTGAAACCCTGTCAGAGCTCTCCTTAGATATCAGCCCAGTTACAGTTTGCCCTCCAAAAATAATCTGCTCTCTTGAAAATCTCAAACTCTTGCCACATTTCAGGCATCGAACATTAACAGTTTTTAGTGAAGAATCAACAACTAGTTTTACCCAATCATGAAGTGAAAAACTGAAGAATGGGGTGTGCAAAACGAATCGGCCCCTTTTACTTTCAGTGCAGCAAACTCTCCCCAGAAGTTCAGTGAGGATCTCTGAATGATCCACTGTCGACCTTAATGATACTAAATAGAATCCACCTGTGTGTAATCAAGTCTCCCGATAAATGCACCTGCTCTGTGATCTCCTCAGAGGTCTGTTTAAAGTGCAGAGAGCATCATGAAGAACAAGGAACACATCAGACAGGTCCGAGACACTGTTGTGGAGAAGTTTAAAGCTGGATTTGGAAACAAAAAGATTTCCCAAGCTTTAAAAAATCCCAAGGAGCACTGTGCTAGGAATGCACATTTTACCTTGCTGATTGTGATTCACATTTTACCAACTGATTCTGATTAAAACTAATTTTTGAAATAAATTATATTGTGTATTTTTTTACATAACATTTGCCATTGCTAATGGCATACACAGTAATCTAGCGTACTTTAATTAAATAAATCAATTCAAGCTAAAATGTAAGAGTCTATAATTAGGTCATACTGAGCCTGATCTATTTGTACCATCTATTTGGGGGATATTTATTGCCACACTTTGGGCCACTTAATACCAATTTAGCATCAAATAAATGAGACAGCCTACCTCAGCATTGTTGCTGACCTTATGTCCTTATGAACACAGTGTACCAATCTTCTGATGGCTACTTCCAGCAGGATAATGTGGCATGATAAAGTGAATCATCTCAGACTCATTTCTTAAGTAATTGTGAATTGAGCATATTGACAGACAACATTTTATTTTTTATCTTAAATGCAATTTTTTTTTAAATAATTACTGCTCTAAATGTAAAGCTCTGTCAGCTAAAGATCTGTTTTGGTCTCTATACTTTAATTAAATAAATCAATTCAAGCTAAAATGTAAGAGTCTATACTGAGCCTGATCTCTTTGTATCAGAGATTTTCTTACCTTTTAGAAAAATGTCACTTTGGTAAAACTCCCCCTGCAACCCTGATTTGCATTTGTATAGCTCACAGGATTTTCATTTACATGTTAAAGCCTCGCCTAGAATTCCATGGGGGGGAGGCATGGGGGGAACACTGCCTAAGAAAGTCCGCGTCAATTTCTGACAATTTACGGGAGTTTTCGGCGAAGCCTGCAAATTACCGTAAAATGCCGTTAAGCTGAACTTCCGCGACAATCTACAGTGCCGCATATTGACGAAAATCCCACTTTTCATGCATTGTTTAATCTGGGGTGGGAAACCACCTAGGGTTTGTAAAACCTTACTGCAGCGATGCAAACTTAGTGGGGGTCTTGCATTACCCAATTTTGTAACTTACTATTGGACTGCTCACATCCATAAACTTTGCTACTGGTTAAAATCTCCTGTATCCTCTTGGTGTAAATTGGAACCATCATCCTGTAGGGGGTCCCCTATACCTGCTTTACTTTATTCCTCTTTACCTACAAAACCTTCTCTATATACCGATAATAAAGTGGTTCTTAATACTCTCAAAATCTGGTACTAATTTCGACGGCACTTTAAATTTGTGGCTGCATCTACCTTGGTTCCTTTAAATAACAACCATCTATTTCCTCCATCACTTTCGGACTCGACATTTTCAGAGTTGTATGACAAGGGTATTACACAACTTAGATTTTTATATGTAGAGGCTGTTTTTGATAGTTTTACCAATTTGTCATCTCGTTATAACCTCCCTATTACTCACCTGTTTCGCTATTTTCAAACTCGCAATTTTGTGACGAAGTGTTTCCCTAAATTCCCCTCTCTACATCCAGAACACCAGTGGGAAACCATGCTTTTTTTTGTTCCTCATCATAGAGGAATCATTTCAAAGCTGTATGATATTATCTTAACTTTTAGCAACCACTCTAATGCTAAACTTAAGTGTACAAGGGAAAGGGAACTGGGAATACAATTCCATGAGGAGTCCTGGAAACAGGCCATAGAAAGGGTACGAACTACCACCTCTTGTGCTCGTCTTGGACTTATTCAATTTAAGGTCTTACACAGGGCACATTTCTCCAAGTCAAGATTATCTGAACTGTATCCAGATGTGGAAGACAAATGTGATAAATGTC